CATTACAGGTTCCCTTCAATAATAATACTGTACATGAAAAAATTATGCTCCTCTGATTGGCTGGAAACTAGTGCAATCTTCATGTAACACGAGTGCAAAGTTGTCACACGAGTGCAAATTACAAAGAGCGCGCGCGCTACAAAATTTTGTCCGTTTTGACATTTTGAGATGCGTTTTTCGTGTAAATTATTAACAAGTAACAACATGATTTCTCGTTGCCTTACGACTCGAACAGTTTTGTTGTCAAATTTACTCGTGCTTATTAACACCAAGTTGCACTCAGAATCATGTTGTTAGGGTTTTTTCTGATACGTCGCCAGTTCCCATTTTGACCCCTGGGTGTAGAGAAGCATTGAGGACTGGTCAGTTTTTCCTATAGAGCTGTTGTGGAAGAGCCTTTCCCATGAACTCCGATCAACAGTTTCTTAAAGGGTCGGGTCATAACAATATTACAGAGCGTCATGAGATCAGGTAAATTTTATCGTGACATAACCAGAGTCCTCCGACCCTCCCCTCCCAGGTAATAAATGAAGTGAAGACCGGTCCCTTGTTTGAGTACAGTGTCTTGTTTAATAATGGTAATTGACCCGGTCGGATTGCAATTTGATTGGCTAAAATTTATGCACGTGATTTCAAAATCGAACAAGTGCGAAACGTCAATTCCAGTTGAAATCATGGGTTATGAAAAGAAAAAGACTTGGCTCATTACTTAAAACTCTTACCTGCCATGAACCTGTGGAGAAGCTTCTTCTCCTTTTTTGCTTTTTAGAAACTCCTCATAGCGCGCCTGTTTTGCGGGATCTTTGACAAACGGTTTAAAACTGCTGTGACCAGACCAAGACCAACGGGAAGAGGGTGCACTCTTTTGAGAGGAATCATTAACTGCAGAACTCCCTCCTTCCGATGGTATTTTACTAGAGGGCTTTGATATTTCACTCTTCGAAGCAGACAACACTCGTTTCTTGTCCTCTTCAGAAAGATACTCAAACACAGATTTCTGAGGCGCTGGAAGTGGTTCTTCGCCCAGCATTTCTGCTCTATCCATTGCAGTTAAAACTTTCTTCCTATTCGAACCTTCATCGGAGGATTTTTGAACAGTCTTGGTATCGTCGAACTTGTGGGTACAATCAAAATTGCGAGGCACCACCGGAGGCGGAAAGGTTTTAAATGCATCCATAGCTTTGGGTTTTGTGGTGAAAATCGACAAGGCGCCTCCTGAATTCAA